GGGGTCTCCTGCATTGCAGGCAGATTCTTTACAACTGAGCTGTCAGGGAAGTCCTATCAGATAAGGGGTGGATTCTTTAAACCCTTCTGACTTCAAGCCACCAGCCCACGCTGTTGGTTCAAATAACCTCCCCTGGGTAGAGCTGAGCCCATGGCCATGATCAGGGCTGTCTGACCTGTGTCTGCACACACATCCACCTCACTTTACTGTGTGTGTGTGTGTGTGTGTGTGTGTGTGTGTGTTTATGGGAGGGGGGGTTTTTCCATCCCCCAGCTGCTGCTACAGCCAATAGCAGTGCCAGGCTGCCCCTCTTTGACAGAAGTGCCCTCCACCAAGGGAGGCCCCCTTGCCCAGGGAAGTAGTGCACCAGGAAAGACCCACAGCCACCCCCACCCCCCTACCAGCTGACTGGGCTGAGGGTGTGAGGAGCCAGCTCCTTTGCAGTGAGTGGTTCACAGAGCCACGGCCTGACCAGCTCTTTCACTTCCTCATGGGCTTCACTCTCTCCCTTACAGGTGTTTCCAGAAATGCACACATTTATAAATTGCTTTCAGAAGGTGTCTGGGACATTACTTCTAGGAAACCTCATCTGAGGCACCACCTATTGTGATCCAGATTTAAATCTTTGATTTGACCCAGATCACCAGGCTTTCTGATGCCACTGTTACCTTGCTCAATGGCTCAGCAGTGTTGTGTTGCTGTTGATATTCCATCTTTTAAATAAGTGTCTGTTTTCTTCAACAGCCTTCTCTTCCGACCTTCCAGAAGCAAATTGCATGGGCGTTTTGCTTGACACCGTGTGCCTAAGATCATCTACCTTACTAAATATGTTGTGGTGCTTCAGTTTCTAAGTCACGCCCGACTCTTTGCGACCCCATGGACTGCAGCATGCCAGGCTTCCCTGCCTGCCCGTCACCATCTCCTGGAGTTTGCTCAAACTCTTGTCCATTAAGTCAGTGATGCCATCCAACCATCTCATCCTCTGTTACCCTGCTTCTCCTCCTGCCTTCAATCTTCCCCAGCATCAGGGTTATTATTAAATGTCTGATTTCACACAACTAAATTACTAAACTCTACCTACATTACCTGCTCTCTGCTACCTGCTTCACTCAACCCACATCACCATCCGTGGGCACCCAACCCTCCCGTGCCCCTGTGCAAATGTTGTCAAGTCTCCCCCCACAAAACTCCCAGCATTCACGCTCTCCCCACAATTCCTACAGCCTTGGTTTAGGGTCTCATCAGTTCCTCCCCAGGATACTGAAATACCCTAGCTGTCCTAGCTTCAGGCCTGTCTCCTAAACCACCATCTCTCGTATGCCATTTCTTGTTTAATATAAGCTGATGTGTCCTCACTCCCTAGAGACCTAAGTCCAAACACCCTCCCACATCTCACTGTCTGTGTGGAGGTGGGTTGCAGCCACCCTCTCCAGCACCATCATTCTCCAGCTCCGCCGCCACCCTCCCATACAACCCCACTGCTTAATTCCTGTGCTTCCTTCTTCCTGGGATGATCTTGTTTTAGTGGGTCCCCTGGATGAAGTCCCAATCTTAACCTTTATGATTTAAACTAAGCATCGCCTTTAATATGCTGTCTAGTCAAAGCTATGGTTTTTCCAGCAGTCATGTATGGATGTGAGAGTTGAACCGTAAAGAAAGCTGAGTGCCAAAGAATTGATGCTCTTAAACTGTGATGTTGGAGAAGACTCTTGAGAGTCCCTTGGACTGCAAAGAGATCCAACCAGTCCATCCTAAAGGAAATCAGTTCTGAATATTCATCGGAAGGACTGATGCTGAAGCTGAAACTCCAAAACTTTGGCCAACTGATGCGAAGAACGGACTCATTGGAAAAGACCCTGATGCTGTGAAAGATTGAAGTCAGGAGAAGGGGATGACAGAGGATTAGATGGTTGGATGGCATCACCGACTCAATGGACATGAGCTTGAGCAAGCTCTGAGAGTTGGTGATGGAAGGGAAGCCTGGAATGCTGCAGTCCATGGGGTCGTAAAGAGTTGGACACGACTGAGCAACTGATCTGAACTGACTGAAGCATCGCCTTTCCCATGACCTTAACTGATTTTCCAGGTGGCAGCTACATTCTCATTTGAGTCTTGCTGAAATGTGACTCTACTTCAGCATTTCCCATACATCATGGGAGATGCTTGAGACCTCTATCTACCATGCACATTACTTGGCAAATATGAGAGGCTTTTTGACCAGCTGTGTCAAAACATCCAAGTACAACGCTTACATCAAGTAACAAGTAGTAGTTTGTGGTATTCAACATCATGTCTTAGCATCACCTGGATACCACACAGCAAGGTCACATGTGATGGTCATGGATGTGGCAAACACGGCTAGCCGTTTACTAAATGTATTTCTCCTCCTTCCAGGGAAACAGTCTACATTTTCCAGCCTCTGATGCAGTTAGGTGAAGTAATGAGGTTCTAGCCAGTACAGAGTGAGCAGAAGTAACCCATTCCTCTTCCAGGCCAGGCCCATAACCTCCTCCAAGTGTTCCTGTGGCTTCTTCCCTTCCGGTTGGCTGGGATGGTGACCCCCAGGTTTACTAGGTAGAGAAAGTCAGAGAGCTGCTGTCAACCTGGATCTCTGAATGACTGTAAGAAATAGAGCCCCCCACTGATGGGGTGTCCCCCTTTGTCCCACGAGCAGGAAATAGACTTCTACTGTTTGAGTTATTGTAGTTTGGGGGCATATTTATTGCAGTATTAACATTTCCCTACCCTGGGCAGGCACTGTGACTTAGCCATTGTAGAAGGAAGGACATGTTGATATAGCCTAAGAAAAACTAAGCTTAAAATTATGGAGCATTGTGCAAAACAGCTGGATTCATTCCCAAGTTTCACCTCAGTGGGCCTCACCTCTGAGTGAGGCTACAAAGTAAGGTGAAAGTCAGGGTGCCAGTGAGGTTGAGTGCTAGTGAACGGCTGTAGTCAAGCTGACCAGCAAGGAGACTTCACATCCTGCAGAGAAAAGAATGTGTGCCCATGTAATTAAAAATTTTACATCTAGGTTATTTATTACATATAGGTTATTTCTTGGGCTTCCCTTGTGACTCAGCTGGTAAAGAACCTGCCTGCAATGCAGGAGACATGGGTTTGATCCCTGGGTTGGGAAGATCCCCTGGAGAAGGGAAAGGCTACCCACTCCAGTATTCTGGCCTGGAGAATTCCATGGACTGTATAGTCCATGGGGTCGCAAAGAGTCGGACATGACTGAGCGAGTCATGACAAGTCTGAGCAAGTCAGACTTGCCTGGATTTCCCAGGCAAGCATACTGGAGTGGGTAGCCATCTCCTCCTCCAGGGCATCTTCCCGACCCAGGGATCGAGCCCGCGCTTCCCGCCTGTGTCCTGCACTGGCAGGTGGACCCCTCACCACTTGAACCACCTGGGAAGCCCCTTTGTATTAACAGCCTACCTGAAAACCAAGTTGTCCAAAACATGCTTCCTAAACATTTCCCAGCAGACTGTGCACATTCACTTTTGCATCTGCGTGAGTTAGCTTAGGGTCTAACAGGGTAGGTGTTCAGTGAATGTCTCTCAGATATTAAGTAGGGAGGAATTTGAAGCAACGCAAGGCTTCATTGTTTCACTACTCCTTGTGACATTCATAGTTACTTCTTCTAGTATCACACAAATGAAAACACTTTTTATTCTGGGCAGTCATAATTGTATACTATCCATCAAAAAATATAATGTTTATAGCTGAGGCATATTCAGTCTGAAGATGAAGTGATATATTAACTCCTTGATCAAATGCCAGAACTTACAGATGAATATGAAACAGACATCAATAATTACAGCTTGTACCATAGCTGTTGGTTTCTAAACCTTTCAGTTCAATGAACAAGTAATAACTGGACAGACACACCTTTCAGAAATTAGAGGTGGGAAAAGATTACCTCATTCCATACCTGTCACAGGGCAGGCCCCCTGCAGCAACTCAGCAAGAGGCAGCCCATGGGCCCGGGGGGGAGGTGTGGGCTGGGCCTTCTAGAATGATGCCAGAGAGGAAACATAAAGGACCCTGGGGCAGGAGCAGCCAGGAGCCAAGGCTTTCCTTGGACACTATACCCTCCCTTCCCTTCAGTCCTTTATTCTGTTTCCTTAAGAAACCTGGTCTGGCCATAAAAGGTATGTACTTAACTTTTTTCTAAATTCCATCCTACTCAGAGAAGTCTTATGCTTTCTTACTTGAATGTAAAAAGGAATTACTAATGCTAATAAAAAGATAATTATCTCTCAGCTAATTCTTGATTTGAAAAGCACATCTAAACACCCAGCATACTGCATGGCATTTAATGGATAGTCCCATCAAAGGCCTATGGTTGTGTTCCAGGGATCAAGGTCACAAAAGCTAGAGCGGCCGGAAGCTGATATAGTACTGCTGTGTTTGAAGAAATTCTAGCAAAGTGAACACACGTCTCTACAATGCTCACAGATTGGAGGAGATGAAGAAAAAATATACTTCATTGAGACACAAAGGCGCAGATGGTTTGACTCCTGAGTTTCTCCACGGCATCTTCATCTGCTACACGCTTCCACGTTCTTCACTGGAGTTAAGAATCCTTTCCCCAGCCAGTCCTTGTGCTGATCACAGCTACAACACTGAATGAGTGCGTGCATGCATGCGTCTTTTACAGTGAGTAGTATGGAGGGAGGATAAAATAATAAAGACTAAAGAATGCAACTCTATTCATTTTATCAAAATCTACAGAGCACCTCAACCTCAAAACTGGAAAAACAGGTCTCACTGTCTCAGAATGTTACCAAGTTCAAGAATAAATACAAAGATCAATAAAATAATCTTTTGACAGTTCACTGAAATTTACTCTATAAAGATTCCATTTCTTAGCAGTTTAAAAACCTGAAAATCTAGAAAGATGCTCTGATTATTTCATGATAAAAATTAATTCCTTGAACTGTCCTGGCTTTGACTTAGCCTTTTCAAGGTATTTGTGTGTGTGTGTGTGTGTGTGATCTATTACCATGATAGAAGGCATTGATGCCACAAATACCAATCTACATTTGGTCTTGGAAAAAGATTTTCGTGCACATTGGACAATATTGTCCAAATATTACTATTTGTTTCATGGAAGTCAAGGCAAAGACTTTAGTAGAGTGTAAATTTTAAGCCAATGAATAAACAGTTGGCTTCAAAAAACATTAAATTGACATGCAGAGCATTTGCTGCTCTGCCAGATACTAAAAATAAAGCAACTTCTGCCAACAGGGAAAAACTTGAATTATTTCAGTTGGTTCTGAAGTTAACCAGGTTTCACTAATTTTCCTAAATGGGGCCTGATGTTAAGGTTATTATCTTGTTTCCTCAAACCTTACCTCTGAGGTAAGATGCCAACTGTGAACAATTTTTTTAAGGATCAACCTGATAGTTTTTTACAGTTTAGCAGGACATACCTTTCTAAAAATGTGATATATTTACCCAACAAATGAAAACTTGAACATCTGAAAACTAATAATCATCTTTGAAGAATTAAGTTCAGGGGCTCCCCTGGTGGCTCACTGGTAAAGAATCCATTCGTCTGCCAATGAAACAGACGCAGGTTCGATCCTGGGCTAGAAGATCCCACATGCCTCGGAGCACCTAAGCCCGTGGGCCACACTACTGAGCCTGTGCTTCAGAGCCCCTGCTCCGCAACAAGAGAAGTCACTGCAATGAGAAGCCCGTGGACAGCAACCAGAGTAGCTCCTGCTTGCCAAATAAATAAAAAAATAAAATTATATAAAAAAGAATTAACTTCAAACTTGTCTTAGAGTGAAGAATAAGCTAAGTTATTACAATATTTACAAGATAACATTTTAGACAAAAGGCATCAGGGAACTCGGTATGTTTTAAAGATGAAGTTTTAAGCTGTTAGCCAAAGCTCAGGTAACATTTTATTCCTGTCCTTGGCCTGTTCCTTCCGTAGCTGTCTCTCTAAAAAAAATAAGCGCATTTAAAATATGGAGTTTGAGATTTATGATCAGTTGCAGAAACCTGTTTAACTACTGATTTACAGTTTGGGCCAAGGTATTTAGGTCTGTCATCAGAACTAATTATAGCAAACCTGAGATTATATATTCAAACTCTCCTTTTGGTGAAAGAAATGAGAATGTTCTGTGGAAAATCAGAAACATCCTGAGGGCTTCCAAAGAGGAATGCACTGTCAACTTTATTTCTCAGAACCAGGGCTGCAAAGCTCAAAATTACTATTCTTTAGTAAGGTGTTTTAGCCTGAAGTACTCAAACAGTAAATCATAGTTACATTAATGGCATACCCATGGCCTGAAACATATTAATCTCAGGTAACAGTAACTGACATTTACATTACTAATCTAATTCAGGCATTCTGATGGTAGTAAATGCACATGTTAAAGCTTCAGGAACTGAAATTATTACTGATCCAAAGAGAATCCCTTATTTCACTGTCACCAGATGGAGAGGACAAATGACTATACTTTTGGGGGCAACCTGGGTTTTCTAAGAATAATGTCCCCATTTTAATGCTTTAATGAGGAAAATTCAAATTAAAGCAGATTAAAAATAAAGCAGTCCCAAATGATATGCCAGAAGGGCTAACCGAAGAAAACCAGTGCCTTCCTCTTCCTCAAATCCTCTTCCCCTCCCACTCCTTCTTCTGCTGGACAATCTCAGATTCTTTCACAGGCCAGGCCTCGAGGAGAAAGGGACTTCTGCAACACGGCTCTCTTATCCAACGAATCCCGAGACCTGATTCCACCATGCCGTCCACTCAGGGAAAACGTCCTCATCCATGTGGGACTCCTGAGTGGAAGGAATGAGTGACTGCTGGCCCCAGGGCAGGTGGAAGGGTTTGGACAGCTGGATGTTGGGTCGGGGGCTCCCAAACCAGACCCTAAAGGTGACCACTATGGCCAGGCCTCAGCATGAGAAGAGAGGGGAAATGTGCCCACAGGGGTCATGAAATGTGCTAAGGAAGTAGATAAGCGGGAAAAGGTGAGCAGACAATGCAGGGAGATGACTGACTGTCTTGGAGCCCCGTATGTGAGACTGTTACACTACCTGCCTGCTCAGAGAGAACATTTTTCATATTTCAGACAAAACCAATGGATTGTGCAGTGGATATTTCCCCCATGATGAATTTTTTTTTAGAGGAAAATCTCCTATATTCTAAGTTTGCATTCACCTACTAAGAGGTTAAAGTAAGATGTTACAGGTAAAGGCTGTATGATTATATTTATAAAATTCAACAGGGAATATTAAATCTTAAAATATAAGATTTTCCAATGTTTGATCTGAGTATCTTTTAATGATTAAGTCCATAAGTAGGGACACAATTTTCTAAAATCTCGCTTTCTCTACTATACTGGCTTTCATCACTTAAGTGGAAGCAAGATATGATTTTTGTTCTCTTAAATGGCAACAAGTTGCTCACTTATTCCAGAACAGAAAAAACATTAAATATGTCACCATAAATTAGTAAAATTTGATTACTATTTGTAAGTCTAAAATTAACAAAATACTATCACCATGATTCATTTCTTATGTTCCTGAATTTATATTTCTAACCTAGAGAAAGTTTGTATCAGATGGCTAGAGAACCTCTGATGAAGGCGCAGGAAGGGAAAAGAACTGACGGAAAAAACCACAACAGGCAGTTCTTGACCTCTCCTGAGCACCAAGCGGGAGATGCCAAAATAACCCAGGCCTGCCAAAAAAAAGAAAATCACATCATCCAGTTGTGGGCGTGTCCACCAGCTTGAGATAATTTCTCAAAGCCCTTTCTAGTTAGGACTCTGAAACACACCAGTAAAACACTTAGCAGGGCACCAGTCTTCTTTATCCTTATGCAATCACTCAGTCTTTCCCAGAGTAATGGGGAAGAGGAATGAAAACAATCAAATCATGTTTGTTCTTAGAAGGTTCAAAGTTACAATGTCTTGAGTTATAACTGTCTAGTACGACTATATCAATTTCTCTAAGAACCATCTCATAATTTAAAGAACGACATGGCTGAGAGAGATATTTAGGAAGACATTTCCAGGCAGAGAACCTGAATTTAAATCATTCTCCAAATACTGTAAGATTCTGTCCTTTTTTAAAATGGTGTTCTTTAATCTGAAGGTACAAAAGATTAATCAATTGCCTTTATTATGTGACTATGAAATATCAACTCTACTGCCTCCAATAAAGAACAGATAATTACTTTTATAACATTAAGATAAAGTCATCTGTAAACACAGGATCTTTCTTGCACTTATGACTAATCCATTATAAACAAATACCCATCTTAAAAACACAACTCCACAGTCAGCGCAGTCACACTGACTGCAGATAAGAAAGTACAAGGAGCTCACTGGCTCTGCTCCAGCAAATGGACGAAAAGTGAAGCCGAGTTTACACTGGAGGTCTATATAAACAAACAAATCAAGTCCTATCTTTCCCCCTCCCTGTATGTATGCTTAGATTACTTGCACAAATAACGGGATGGTCCACTTCACTCACTTCAATGGGAAGGACTCTTCAGTAAAAGAATGAAAAACGATTTGATAATCAACTCCCAAATTTTATGCTTATTTTTTCTATTTCCATCAATTTTCTGGCATAGTTAACATAAGCAGGAAAATCTTTTTTAGTAAATTGAGCAACTGAAGACTCGAGTGAAGCCTCAAAGGTCTTGAAGAACTCTGGCAAGTCACATATATCCCATGTTGCTTTTGGTTTCCCACCTCTTCTTTGCTTCAAATCTAAAATGAAGAACATGAAATTTCTAAATATTTTACTGAAGTTACATGTTTACTAAGGGCCAAAGTAAAATAAAAAAGTTTTCACAGACTCCATCAATTACAAAATAAATATCAAACAGGATGAAGACATGCCTCTATATTTACAATCTGATAAACATTCAGCAAAGATCCAAAGAATAAAATGAATAACAACTATGCACAAACTGGATTCACAAAACGTATCACAGGATTTCTGTAACTGCTTTGAAGTTAGTAGAATCACTAATTTAAAAAAAAAAGTCTTAAAGCTCACCCCCAGGCAAGTTTCTTCTTCTTTCGTGCAACCTGTGAATTTTCAGCCTCCTTCTTGGCTGTCACAAAGTTGTGGCAGGCAATAGCTCTGGCAATTTTTACACCAAGCTAAGAATTACAAAGGAGAAAAAGCGAAAATAAATATTCTAGCTGATACAAGAATTACAGTGATACAGATACTCGAGAATTTGTGGGTAAGAAAGCCAGGTCAACCTTATTTTACACATGCTAAGAATGGAAACTCCTAATGCTTGGGCCTCTGAAACAGCCAAAGTCCCACCACAAATGCAAAGATGCCATTCCTTCTCTCCTCTCCTCCCTTAGCCCTTCACCCAGTTGGACCAGTCGCCCGGATGGAGCGCCTTCCCACACCAAGGCCCCTCGAGGGTCCACCAAGCCTGTGGATGAAGATCTTGAAGCGCTTTACGCATTTCAGTAGGACAGACAGGAATTTACCCTGATAAGGCTGACAGAGACATCCAGTGTCTTTGCTTTGGGCTAGAATTAGGCAACTCGGTATGGGCGCACCCGTTATCTCACACTGATCAGAAGCTCGGATTGGCAGTCATAGATGTGATTAATAAAACACGGGAAAGCTAATTACTACTTGATAAACACACTTTGTGTGACGGGCAATTGCTTTTCACTCACTGACAGAAAAAAAGAATATAAGGGGTGCCAAGAGGCAAAAAAGCAGGGCCCCGGGACCACAGCGTTCCCTGCCAGCACCCCCCTTCACACTCCTTCCATCCATCCGCCCCAGTCCTCAAGGCCCCGCAGAACAAAGCGTCCTCTCAGCCCCGGCCCCCAAGACTCCTCTAACTCAATGCACCACCAACTTCTTTTTGTATTTCTCCCGCCCCTCAGCTTCTACGCCACAGCCTACGGTTCCGACACTGGACTCTGCACGGCCCTCTGGCCGCAGAGCTGGTACTCAGTGAGCGTCTCCAGGACAGGCATGGGGCTCTTCTGTTTTTAGTGGGCTCCAATTTTAAAAATGCCCGCCTACATGGAAGGCTCAAAAGTATCCGTTAAAACAAGGGCTACAAAAATCTCTTCCTGGTGTTTCTTTCCTTTTCTCTGACCACAGCTTACTGAGTTTCAGCAGCCAGCAGACTTGCGGACAAGAGGAAAGGACCCAGAAGCCACTCTCCAGGCAAAGAATTAGAGCCCAAGGTTTGGGGACCTGCTTGCCGACAGTGAGGCACGGCAGGCGGTTAGGGGCTCACGGGTAAGGAGAAAAGCTGACCGAGGAAAGTGAGGTTTGGCTTGCCTGCCACTCCTTTCAGCTCACCTTGGAGAACAGCTTCTTTTAGGATGAAATAAACAAGCGGTTGTCAAGCACTGTCCGGCGTTTACAAACAAGAACAAAAACAGATCCAATTTTTCAGTCCAGGGAAGAATACACATAAAGAAGGTAAGCAGATGCAAGCAATGTGACAGTCAAGCCAGTGTGCTGAGGTGGTCGAAACCCAGAGGAAAGCCACTGATGGTATGAGGGTGGATTGTGGCTGCGAGCCCACCTGTGACAACAGACCAACTCAGAGTCTTCCTGACACCCAAGCCAACACCAGCACCACTACCGTCATCACCATCTTTTCTCACAATGAGGACATTCATGCAACCAATATAACGAGGGCACAAAGGCATTATTTTGCCAGGCACTGTTGTAGGCGCTGCAGATACGGCTTTGAACAAGAGGGCTGGGGTGCAGGGAGCTAGGGAGTAGGGGCTGTTACAGCTGATGGCGTCAATCCCCGCCCTGTTCTCCTGGCTCTTTTCACTTTCAGTTCTTCACCACAGGACAGTTCATCTAAGTCAACCAAGAAAAGGCTAAGAATCCAAGGGCTGTAGCTTCCTCATCGAAGGAGAAAATGAAGCTCAGAAGAATGCTGTGGCATCATTCATTATGAAGATGGATTTCCTATTGACTAAAATGCCATCCATTTGTCATAAATGTAAAAAAAAATCACGTTAGTGCCTGTTGGGCTAGGCTAGTCAAAATGGCAGTATCAGACAAATCTCCAAATCTCACTGGCTGAACTTTTGTTTCTGTTTCACTTCACATCAGCTGTGGACTGGCCAGGCTCTCCATCTGGTGCTGCCAGCATCTCAACACGCGGCTCTCGAGTCTCAGCGGCGGAGAAGAGCTGGCTGGAGGGGCTCACACTGCCTCTTCAGTGCTTTAGTCCAAAAGCGACGCGCAGCGTTTCTGCTCACAGCCCTCTGGTCAGAGTACAACCCCACCTGGCTGAGGGTGCTTGGGGGCGCGAGGGGAGCAGGAAGTGCTCCTGAGGAACCGCCTACTGTCAGCGCACGCAGCTTACCACTTCTATTTAAGAGGCACGCGCATCTCCCCACGTCCATGGAGGACAGTCTCCTCCTCTGTCTCCCACCTCCAAAAGGTAAAACGCGGAATCCAGTATTTGTCTGTCTAATTATACTCCTACGTGTTAGACAGCAAATACAAAGCTGACATATGATAGCTTTGCTGAGATCACCCCACCTCAGCTAGTTTATATTCTATTTAAATTGAGCCTATGCTTTTGAGTATGAAACAAAAATGACCTGAACTATACAGCTGCTATGTACCATTAACCGTGGGACAAAATTATTTCCTGAAACTGTCGCAAATTAGGGTGTAGCTTCTATTTTTAGCTTATTGAAATTTCCCAATATGGGTTTTCTGGATTTGGAGTAAGCAAACCAAAGACCATCTATCTCAATATGTCTGGATGCTGACTGTGGTCATTTGATTCACGTGGAACTCCTTTCAGCATAGTCATATACTCTTAGAAGGGAGAATTTCTAGCAACATGAAGGCCAAATCCAGCACAATCAGCATCACAGCAAAGACTGAGCGTGCATGCACCACATAAGACAGAGTAAACTTCTTATAAAGCACTCATGACAATGTAAGAAACGTGTTTACACGAGAGGGCTCCATTGTTTTGTAGACTAAGTGAACAGCGTAAGCGATCAGGTACATAGGCAATACTTTCAGGCTTGTTTGTAGGAAAGTTTGTATTTTCTAACTGTATTTTGCCTGGGGTTATGTTCAATGAAATGTTCTTTAACTGATAAACATTAAACAAGCCTGGTCTATGTATTTAACTAAAAGGATCTTTTAGCTTGTAAGGATGATGAAAAGTCGTATCAATGCCAGGGCCTTTGCATGCTTAAGACGAATGTGTTTTACTTATTCCCAAGGAGAAAAGAAAAAATGGAAATATCTGGAAATCTGAAAGGATCATAAGATCTTCTACAGAAGAGACAGTTGAGAAGAAAGGTGTTTTCCCAGGCAAGAAGACTAAGCCAAGCTCCAGAAGATAAAAGAATACTATGCTATGTTTCAATATTACAAACAATATAGGTCCCCAAGAATCCCCCCTTTCACTCCTCTGAAAAGAAAAAAGCATCTTCGGGCCCAATGTAAACATCACAAAAGCTTGGTCAATGGTTTTTATATTAAAAAATGGTTTCGGGTCATCAGATAACTAGAGCAACACCATGTGGGAAGAAATTTTTTTCAAGAATAAAAATATATACAGAATTTTTTCTATGTGTCGCCAAAGTATCAGCATTTTCCATATAGAACATCCAATATTTTGCTGCATTTTAATTAAGGTGTCTAAACATTATCACAAAGAACTGCAAATTGGTCAGAGCAAGCGGTAAGGAAAATTAAGCTCTAAAGGCTTTTTATCACCATATTTCAGGAACCAAGGGTGTAAAATGTTCTAATTTGGGATATATTAAAAGCCATAAAAGGTCTTTCAAAAAGATTAATGGTACTTTGCTTGGATTTAAGATAAGGGCTTTAGCTGGTTGGAAAAGCAGGGCCCTGGCTGGACCCTTGAGGCATTCATCTTTACAGCCACTTGGAAGATTTGTAAAAGCGTCTGCATAACCTCAAGCAAATGCACGGCGACATTTTTTTAATTCCTTTCAATTTTACAGGTTGAGCATGTGTAAATCATATTGGGTTGTAAAACAGATATAATGGCACATAGTGTAACACAGTCAAGATTTTTAAAAGACAAACTTGAAAAATAAAGTTAGTTTTTCTTGCTAAACCTTGCCCTGCTAAAGTTTGCTGATAATCATTTGAAGAATCTGATTCAAACAGCTTCATCTAGCATCACTGTAAACTTCTCATCCATTTCATAAAAAATTTTACTCATCTTCAAATTACTAGCTTGTAACAGATTTATGAAGCTTCCCTCCCTTTTGCACACTTTCAAGGCACTTATTTAAAAATACCAATTATCATACTTTAACTTTTTATGGAATAATAGGTCTCTATGAAAAATATTTATGCCATTCTCTTTTGTTCTTTAATTAAATGAAAACAGATGTTTTCTGAAGTAAAGCGGAACCATTACTGGAGTACTTAAAGTGTTAAGGTCTTTAATTTTTATATCAGTTTGGTCGACAATTCCTGATTGTCTTTACTCAAGCTCAACATTAATGTCAAGCAAGTTACCTAGGAGACGAAAGAGATCAAAGAGACAAAAACCCCTCCAATGTCTGATTAATCAAGCCTGCAAACAGCTTATTTCTTTTCGCCTGCATGCAAGTATGAAAATGAGATTCTGGGAGCCGAACATTGTGCAGATTTGTTCATTCTTATCAGAACAAAGCCAGCGGCAGCTTATTTCATGGATCATTGGCACTGTCATCAGTGCTACACAGAACGGGTGACAGCTCCTCATTTTGAGGCTTGAACAAAATTAGCAAAAAGTCGGCACAAATTAGCCTCTCATCTTTTTGGTAATATGACATTATTCATTTACTTTTTATCCAATTTTTAATTTTTTCCTTGTCAGCTATCCCTTTCTAGTGTCTGTTGCATGGCATCATAAATGCCTTCTTAAAAACAAGCAGAGAAATAGCCAAAGTTGAAATAACATGCAAAGTTCAAACAGCAAAGAAAAAGCACTTCCAAGGACTGATGATGCTTTATTTTTTTCTTTTTAATAACTTTCAAAACTTTGAAAAAATACTGATGAACAGCTCAGAATACCATGAAGTTAAGTTTTATGAAACTGATAGTATATTTCAATAAACAATATGAAGTGGCTAATAGTGTTTTATTCAAACTACAG